CACACAAAACAATTACAAGGCCCATGCTCTTTTAATGGGGGCTAAAATGGTCCTTTGTAATGATTATTTTATCTCATATTAAAAGAGTATAGGGACTGATATGATATTTTGACACTTTACTACACACGCTTTCTAATTTCTTTTGTGAGAAGCCTATTCATCTTTATATGTTTGGCTTGATTATGTTGTATTATATTGTGAGCATTGCTTATGGAGGATTTATTTCCATTGCATATTCTCATAGGTTTTTTTATTTAATTTTCTAGTATAGTTTTAATCCAATTGAGTTCACATATATTTTGAACGGTTGCTTTGAAATCAGATTCAACATTTGGATTTTGTCTCAACAAGGTGCAATATATTGAAGTGCATCCCTTATTCATTTGTGATCCTGCATAATTAACATTAGATAATCTTTAGTTTGTATAATCATGTTTATTATAGCAAATCCTTTTTCAAAGCTTCATTTTAGATACCCGAGAACTCTGTTTGTAGCTTGAAGGTGACTAATAAAACTTGCCACATAAGTGATGTCAGGATGTGTATGCTGAAGATTAGTTTTTCAACTAATTTTTTATATTTTCTAATGTCAATTATGTTGCCACTTCATTTGTGTCTAGTTTATTATCTGGTTTAATTGGAGCTTTGTATGGCTTGTATTTTAGTCTTTTTTTTCTAATAAACCATAAAATATTTTTGTTAGAAATTTTTTTTTCTGGATATAGCCACTTCTATACAAAATATTTTTTTTGAGATATATTTTTTTTTCTTTTATAGCCACCTTTATACATTGAAGTTATTTGAGTTTGTCAAGTTCTTTAATTTCAAATTTTGTGGTGAGAGCATTTTTGAAGTCATTCTTTTCCTTTGTCATCATCTCCTATAATATATATCTCATTAACATACATAATTAGAATTTAATTTCTTTTTTTAAGTGGAATCTTTTATGAAGAGTGTATAATCTTCATGGCTTTATTTATATCTATTTAATATATGAGTTTTGTAAATTTTTCTATTCATATATTTTGGGATTATTTATGATCATATAACATCTTTTTAATCTGTACATTCTTATCTTCAATGGAAGAATTTTTAAGTTCTAATGGAGAATCCATATAAACTTCTTCAATATCCTCATGTAAAAATGCATTCTTTACATCATATTGTTGCATAAACCATCCATTGTTAGCAGCCAGAGAAATCAAAATGTGAATTATATTCATTTTAGCAGCAATAGTAATTTTTACTTGGCGGTCTATATCATGGAATTGATTATAGTTATTACAAATCTTATTTGATATTGTTCATGGAAGAATCCCATTTGTATCATGCAATTTTTTTTCTTTTGGTAACTTAACAATCTCTCTATCATTTTTTTCAAGGGTATTCATCTCTTTTCTCATGCCATCTTTATCATTCTTTATTTCTAATACAACAAATAAGATTTATGATATTTTAATATTGTTGGAGCTGATATTTGTAAGAAAGGCTTTATATATATATAGAAAGAGAGAGAGATGCTTCTGTTTTTTTTTTTTTTTTTTTTTTTTTTTTTTTTTTTTTTTTGGTTGTTTTATCTGCGTTGGATTCGCTTCTAGAGCAATCTTTAAGACCATCAGAACCTGTATCATCTGACTGCTTGCTTTGTGTTTTAGATTGGCGTGATTGATTCGCTGCCAAAAGTATTTCCAAGAATAGAGTTGTGGGTGGAGGAAGTTCTTCTTGATGAAGGAAACGCCACCATACTGACCCTCTTCATCTGCCTCCTCACCGTTCTCTATCTCCGCGAACGCCAGCGCAGAAATGCAGCCGTTCCTCCTCGCCAACCAGTTGATGCACCCAACTAGTGATCGGGTAAGTTATTGCTTCGTTCCTCTTGTCGTGCACATACACATATTTTTAGATTTTGATGTGATTATGCCATTAAAATGTGATGCAGGCAAGTATCAAATTTCAGATGTTAAATACAAACTTGCATAAGAATTGTTTGGTGTGCATTTAATTTTTCTTTTTTTATTTAATTAGAGCATAGGTAGCTAGAACTAATTCATTAATATTTTGTCAATATGGCTATCTAAATTCTTAGATTTGCTGTAAAATAACTGTTATAAAAATTTGGGAGATTTACATGCATACCACTTAATTCCCCTGTATTTTAGTCTAACACCTAAACTTCAATTTTTACATGTATGCCTCTTCCCATGTATTTTGCCAAGTTAAATCAGTGGTGTATGAAAGATCTGGGTGGTATAAATTTAAAAACTAAAAGTATAGGTGTGTGTAGGGGTGTAAACGAACCGAACACGAACGAACAAAGCTTGTGTTCGTGTTCGGTTCGTTTAAAATTTAGTTTGTTTGAAATAAGCTCGTGTTCGTTTCTTAACGAACGAGTCTGGACCAATTTATTAATTAGTGTTAAAATGATTTGATTAATTAAAATCCTGATTAAATTTTGGACTATGTTGAGCTTGCTTAATAACATTTATCGTTACTTTTTGTTTGCTAATTTGTGTTTTGGAAGATTTACATAAATACCTGTCAATTTGTTTGTATTTATTTATCTAACACCTAAAGTTCAATTTTTTTATACATGCCACCTTAAATATGAATGAAAATGTGTATTTCACTTTTTAAAAATTAAAACGGTGGTATTTTTATGTGATGTGAAATATTTGAATGATATAAATGTAAAGAAAGTAAAGTTTAAATGTTATATATGCGAATAAATAGAAAATGAGAGTGTTAAAGCTCAAAGATCATTTAGAAATATATTTATTTTGTGATATGTAACTAGATATGAATGAAAAAATATTACATCAGTACTATGCACGTAGAGTAACGTGCGTAGCCAATGAAATCATGCAACGACACCCCGCGCGATAGAGAAGAAAAAAATGGCGCAGTAACACGGAGAATATTCTCCCCGTGTTATTAATGTGTTATTGTGTGTTATTCATGTGTTATTGTGTCCTGAGAATATTTTTGGTGTTATAATAACACAATAACACATCAATAACACATGAATAACACACAATAACACATGAATAACATGGGGGAGAATATTCCCCCGTGTTATCTCGTTTTTTTCTCTATCGAGAATATTCCCCGTGTTATTAGGTGTTATTGTGTGTTATTCATGTGTTATTGTGTCATTACTGTGTTATTATAATACTGAAAATATTTTCATAATATAATAACACCAGAATAACAACAATAAATAAATAACGCCGGGCCGATTTTTTTTTTGTACATTCACGTGGCATGATCTATCGCGCGGGGTGTCGTGGCGTGATTTCATTGGCTACGCACGTTAATTCTACGTGCGTAGTACTGATGCAATATTTTTTCGATATGAATTTGGTGGTATGCATGTAAATGCCCATATAAATTGTAATCAATTTTTATGTATTTGATTCATCTTAAATTAAATTTTAGTAATTTAAAAATTTATCCCGATCATTTCGTATATCTTGACCTAGTTTTTCCATTGGCAAAGTGAATAAGCGTTAATGTGCTGGAACTTTTGTGGCAATTGCTGACCAGAATATCAAATCAAAGAAGCGGGATTCACGTTATCTAAGGCCGGCGATCTCTTTTCTCCAGTTCGGAGTTTCTAATTTGAGGTATGCTGAAACCAACATTAATACCTATATAGTTTTCTGAAAGCTAATTTATTACTTTAGAAGGCGATTCGACTTCCTATTTCTGCTTCCTAAGCTTGTTCTTTTTTTTTTATATAATATTCAGACTAGCCAGCATCTTTTTTGTAAATAGACTAGAGTATTGGTGAAAGGACAAAGAGTGTTTTTGTCATGGGAGTGTTATGCTTGCCATTTTAGCCTTTTTTTTAAATGTAAAAGACTAAGGACTCTAAATTATAACCATCATAACTAATGCTACTAAATTGTTTATAGGAAAAATTTTAATGCAAATAAATTTGATAAATATGGATTTGTCACATCTAGGTGCTAAGTTGTTAAATTGGTGAGATATTTGATATTGTTTTATATTTAACATCAAATAATTTTCAAAGAAGTTAAAAAATAAAATAGCTCAAATTACAATAATTTTTTAAATATTAAAAATTAGATGTCTTGTACTCCATTTTTTCCCTCAAAATTTATCAAAGGGTTGAGCTGAAAAAAACACCTCCCATGGCCAAAGGAAAAAACATTGATTTTGCAGGGTATGTGTAGAAAAAGCGAAATGGTGTAAAGGATTATGCTAGATTCAGAAGGATCGGAATAATCCGTTTGACTTGACGCCGACTGCTAGTGAATGAGAAGATGATCAAAATTATTGGAAAAGAAACGAAATGGCAGATGACTTTGCCCATTTTATAGGTTTTATTTGTAATTTGTCGCCTTTTAATATTAACTTCTTAAAAGTTCTATTTTAAAAATTTTGCCGTAGGAAATAGAATAACTTATATATTAAAAAAACATGCTTAATGTAACATGCCATGAAACGGAAGATCTAGTTGGTTTACCGTCATTGATAAATTCTCTTGATGAGTTCTTTTGGTGAGTTCTTTGTGAGTTTTAGGGGATGAGTTCAATGGAATCTTTTATTTGATGGGTCGATTATTTTCCCTTGAGGAAGCCGAGCCAATTTTTGTAGCGGTTTCTACTACTAAGTTCTATTGGCGAGCTAAATGAGATAGAATTCATTAGAAAGTTTTAGGGGCATAAATATTTCAGCTATCTTTTTTTGGCTAGAGCTTCTAAGTAGCCTGGGAAGTACTCTAGGTAAGTTGTTTTGAGGCTCGTAAACGAGTTCAATAATAGTTGATTATGAATGGTTCTAGATTAGATTAACGTTGAAAACTTTGATTAAGTTGTATTAAATATTCATAGAATGACTTGATCAATTTGAATTTGATGAACATGGCTATACATCAGTTCCATGATTTGAGAGTTAAGATTTGTAAATTGCAGAGATATCCTTTAATTGTCGTTCACCTTTTGAATCATTACTACGTTTGAGAATCAGGTGGAGTAATGTACTTCACAGATTTAGCTTCTGGACCTCCTCCCAAATCGATCCCGTCAGGGTCATCACCTAGAATCCAATCTTCTGTTTCAAAAGTCAGACAGCTGGATTCACATTTAGCTGTTGGAACCGCAGAATCTCTGCTATCGACAAAGCGAAGATGTCTCGATGCTCCCAGAGGGTTCAGACTAGTGCGCCTTTCATCCTTGCATCAATTTTTTTTATTAAAAAAATTTGCCAATGTCACCACCGGCTACAATTACTTTTGAGGGTGGTCTCGCAGGTCTCAAGTCCACTTTTGCATTTGTTCTGAAGGTCGTGTGACGCTTGCTCCACACTCCCGACCGCTCTGAGGTAGCAACTCCTAGACCACTTGCTACAAATACTTTAAGGGCGGCCTCGCAAGTCTCAAGACCGCTTTTGCACTTATTCTAAAGATCGTGTGACGCTTGCTCATCACTCCCAACCGCCCTGAGGTAGCAAGTCTTGGATTGCTCCAAAATCCCTCAAACAGTAATGATCGCTCTGCCGTTAGGAAATTTCACAGCAACATGGTATGTAAAGATCATGACTTTGTAACCATTTAGCAAAGGGAGACTGAAGATCGCGTTGTAAGTTGGCAGGGAGTCGAAGAATTGCTTCTCTCCTTCTCGCCAAGTGACTTGCGATGCAATCACACCTAAGGCCTCTTTTCTCTCACTAAAGAAGCCATATAGTGGGTTGATTGGTGCCACCAACTAGTCGGCTGTTCATTTTATCAAACACTGACTTGAGCAAGATGTTCACAAAACTATCTGTGTCGACCAGGATGCTGCCTATCTGATAAATGCTAATTTTCACTGTCATGATGATGGCATTGTTGTATTGATTCCCCCTTACAGGCAAACCAACATCAATGAATGTTATTGGTGGATGAGAGTTGCGCTTCATAGCAAAGGTAGTTGCGTAAAGCTTTTCCGATTTGAGGGCACTATCCTAATGATATGAATGGTGTTTGCCTGCATTATTTCATTCGAGATTTCTTCTACTGGAGTCTTTCCGTGCCTCTAGGTCAGCACACCTAATACCACAAACTTTTTTAGCTTTCCAACTCTTATTAGCTCCTCGACCAGGCTCTAGAGGTACTTGTACTCTTATGTGTCATGGTCATGGTCTTTATGATATACGCAGTATTTCTTCGCATCTTAGAGAAAAGATCCGACTCTCATTAGGAGCGTCTTCTTCAAGTATTCCTTATTCTGGATGGTCTATACTAACTTTGTCTTCGAAACTCTCAATGTAGTGGCGCTTATTGCTTTGTGGTTGTTCAATGGTTGTAATCGATGGTCATTGTGCCTTGCCTGACCACCTAAATGATTGTTCCTATCAACCCCCTTGTTGTCCAGGGATGACCAACTGTCTTCATGTCAGGAACAGAGGTAGGTGTTGGTCGTCTTTTGGCCTCCACTCATTATTTTGTAGGTATCTCTTTTGTGGGAGAAACTCATATGACTCAGCTTTGTGATAGGTGGAGCTGTTGACATATTTCTATCAGATTACTCATAATTGGCCTTTTGCTTTTCTTGAAATATTACATTGCCCTTGGTTACCCTAGCGCTTCCCAATCACCCCTCCAAAGATGAGGTTGGTTCGGTTTACGTGGCTCTTGATATCCCTTGTTGGGTTATCCTTGACCACTCTTGATATCCGCCCCTACATGCATTTATTTAGAGAAGCCTATAGGCAATTTTATTGCTCAAATTTAAAATTGCAGGTTTTAGGTGCGATGGACCCACTAAAAAAGTCAAAAAATACATAAAAGACGCCCCTAGGGTCCCAACAACCTGGTATACAACTCACACAAAAATATTCTCCAAAAGGGTTATAAGGTATACCGAAAAAAAGAGAAAAATTCTCCAAATATTATACCATATACAGCTCAAGTTTATCCCTGCTATCTTCAACACTAGACCTAACATGAAGGTATAAGAATTACAAGAAGGAAATAACAAACTAACCAAGTAGAAATCATTATCATAGTCAGACATCACAACGGTAAGTGAAGCAAGATATAATTTCAGAACCAAGGAATAGCATTTGACATGAGAAGTAAATAAGATACCAATATAGTGATATCAATTCTAAAGCCAATTCATGTCGAAGATCAATATTCTACTCAAAGATAAGAAAGCTCCATAAGGGGGATAGGAATCAGTGACTATATTCCATCCCTTATAAACAAAGGAGCCAGTTATAAGTACAAAGCAGAAGAAACCAACACAAGACACCCCCTTTTTTCATATTTAGATTAATTTATATAGAAGGGCAATTTGTCTATTTGCCCCTCTTAAAATATTACTTTTTTTTTTATTGGAAAGCTTTCTCTAATGATATGTTTCTTTATCAAATTTTGTTTCAGAAATTAAATTAATTATATCTATACACACACATCAATATTATTACGTATTTGTACAGATATTTGTTTGAAAGTATGGACGTGGTACCGTAACAAGAAAAACTTATTTTCAATAATTAATGGAAATGTTCTGTCAAATTTTAGCTTCATCCCTTGGAATTTTTATTTCAGCCTTAACCTAAAATTATGCAGAAAATTTTCTTTTGATTGGGCTCAATTATATATATATATAATGTCAAAAAGAATTGCAAGGATCCTCTATCTGGTATATAATGCACACAAAAGCGTCAAAAAAAAAAGATATATGTATACCCAAAAAAATAAAAATAAAGTAAGAGATCCTATGAAAAAGAAAGTAGACACAACAGTCTTTTGTCTAGTAATATAGAGCTTCAATCTCAGCAAAGAATAGCATCACCACGCGGATACCAGCACCAGACAGTATGTAAGTAAATCCGTTAAAAACATCACCAAAATACAGGAAAAAATCGTGAATGTCACCACAAAAACACGGGATTCCACCGTGAATAACCCCACGAAAACACAAAAATAACACCACTAAATAGTACATAGAAAGGCCGGGAAATAAACCCACCAATAACACCACAAACATACAAGAGATAAACGTGAATAACACCATGAAAATGTGGGATACAGCCGTCAATAAGACCACCGGGCTTAAATATATATATATATATATATATATATATATATATA